AAGAGCAGTGTCAGATGTAGATGACACAGTATAGCTTTATACAGAGAAAACTTTGCTGGAGTTACAAAAGTGACATTTATTATATGGCAGTTGAAGCTCTTGAGATCAAGAGTGACAAGAAACAGAAGGACAGCTCTTGTTTCTTGGCCTCCCACTAGAAAGTCTCAGATGCCAGAGAATCGAGAGGCTCCTAGGACCCAAGAGGGATGACTTTAACTGAAATACTCAACAAAGGGGGAATAGGACCTGTAGGGACCACATCCAGTAGATAGGCACAGCCACCAGTTAAGGGATGGGGCCACCCACCCATCTCAAAGTTTTTAAGCCAGAAATGTTCTTGTCCAGAGAAAAGACAGGGACAAAAATGGAACAGAATGTGAAAGAAAGGCTATTGAGAGACTGCCACACCTAGGAATCCATCCCATCTGCAGACACCAAATCCAGACACTATTGCTGATGCCAAGAAGTGCTTGCTGACAGGAGCCTGAGGAGCCTGGTATGGCTGGTCCCTGAGAGGATCTGCCAGCACCTGTCCAATAAAGATGCAGATACTCACAGCCAACCATCATATTGAGCCTCAGGACCCCAATGGAAGAACTAGGAGAAAGACTGAAGGAGCTGAAGGGGATCGTAGCCCTATAGGAAGAATAATATCAATGAACAGGGTCACTCAGAGCTCCCAGGGACTAAATCACCAACCAAAAAGTATACATGGAAGGAACCATGACACCAGATACATATGTACCATAGGATGGCCTTATCTGACACCAGATACATATGTAGCATAGGATGGTCTTAACAGACACCAGATACATATGTAGCAGAGGCTGGCCTTATCTGACATCAATGGGAAGAGAGGCTCTTGGTCCTGTGGAGGCTTGATGCCTCAGTGTAGGGTGGGGAGTGCTAGAGCAGTGAGGTGAGAGTGAGTGAGTAGGCAGAGGAGCATCCTCATAGAAGCAAAGAGAATGGAGAAGAGAGGGGATGGGATGAGGAAGGGTAATGAGGAAGGGGGATAACATTTGAAATGTAAATGAATAAAAATAATAGTAATAATATTATTATATAATAAGAAGAAGGAGAAGGGGAAAGAGAAGGGGAAGGGGAAGAGGAAGAGGAAGAGGAGGAGGAAGATGAAAACATCTATGTTTCAAGCAGGCCAGGATTAGATGCTGTGTAACTATTCCGTAAGACTCTGAAAGAAGGAGCAGTTAAGAAGACAATGGTTTTTACATTTAAAAGTCAGGAAATCACTATGAAGTCTATAACCTAGTATGACTTAAGTATCACTAATATCACAATCAACCATGTGCTTGATAGAATAATCATGTATTAATACTGCTTATTAGCTCAATAAATTTTATTAAAATTATACAAGATCCTTGATAAATGGGAAACAGTCCATAGAAAAATCTCACACAAGCAATACAAATTATGGCAACTAGGTGACATCATTTAATAAATATTAAGTTATTCATGGGATAAGACTACCATAATTATTCAAGGCTATGACCAAACTGACTCTTTTGTTGCTGCTGATGAAAATATACTCTTTGGGCAAGCAATAGCAATATATAGTAAGAAAAGCAGGGTTCTTTTCTTTAATGTGTGGGTGTAGGATGCGGTACATATGTGTACTTACACTCATGTGTGTGGTGTAACATGTGTGCACATGTTTGTGTGTTGGGGGGTACCTACTCCTGCATGCACTGGCATGGAGACTGGAAGAGGATGTTAAATGTCTTCTATAGTACCCTATTTTATTGTACCTAGGCTTACAGGCAGTGAGCTCCTCATATACATTCGTTTCTATCTCTGCAAATCCTAGTCCTGTGGGACGTGAGGACTGGAACTCAGGTCCCTGTGCAGGAAACAATGTTACCTGTTGCATTATTCCCCAGCTCATAACATTCTTTAGCAGCCATGCAATTTTGAAAATGTCATCTAGACTTAGAATTAAACTTTAGAAGATATTTTCAAATGACAGTAGTTATGATGAGTACTATAGTTTTAACAATTTTAGCATAAAATTTGACTTAAAAATGAAATAAAAATGAGAGTTGAAATTATTTGACATATTGTAATGCATGAACAGGGCAGGATAGCAAGGATATGAAAAATGGTGACTATGATATTTAATATGTTCAACTTGAATGTATCTACATTAAGTGTAGAAACAAACTCCAGAAATTTAGAGAAGATATTTATAATGTCTAAAACTAACAATTACCTATAATATTTGTGCATATTATGCATTCTATCAACAATAAAAAGAAAATATACTCAATAAAACCTCATGAATAAGCAATTCATGAGATACAGATTTGGAGTGACTCTTGATGAATAGTTAGAGTTATACCCAACTGCAATCAGTTAAATGAGAATGTACACATCATTGAGGGAATATTGTGTGGCCAGATATTTGACAATATTAAAAGTAGACTGTGGGATGGGATTATAGAGAAAAAGAATCCCTTCAGCAATGCAGAATAAACTTGTGTGAGGCGCTGCAGTCATTCAAGAGAGTATGGCAGTAGAACATAGCAGATGTTGGAGCAACCATATCTGGCAGGTCCACTTCCCAGGGAGAACTTCTAACCAGTTCCAAAGAAACAATTATCTGTGATTTCTTGTAATGTGTTAGGTTTTGTGCAATGTTTTAGGTTTTGGGAGAGTTAGAAATAACCCTTCATGACTGGTAGACTTGTGTAAATAAAATTTGGTACAGATTCATTGTGGTAAGTGGGCAACACCTGGAAGGAAATGCTCTTTGACTATGGCACCACAACACATATCTGTGTACTAATATGGAGTGGACATAGCAAGAAACACACGGTTTTGAATACCAAGCTGTTTATGCACTATAGAATACATCAATACAGAACTATTACAAACAATTATTTTGTTTATTTGTTCTGAATATCATACATAAAAAGAAATTAATATCTGGATAGGGGATTTGAAGACCAATTAGATCACATATACACAGGAGATTGATATCCAAGTAGAAGAAACTATGAAGTAAAATCACCCAAAGGTCTTGTCCATGTTGATAATATTGCCGTGCTGTAATTGAAGGATCGCATCAATTGAGCTCAGTGCACCCGAGAACTCTAAAGCAAGAACTAAAATTTCCGGGACTTTAAATGAAAGATTCTGAGAAACGCGTGCATGCAAACTGAGTGAGAAACCAATAACATGGAATACAGACCAATGCAGAAGCTTCTATGAATTTAAGCTTCAATCAAGACAGAGTACACAAGTTCAGTAATGTTTTTATGCAAGTAAAAAATCCCATAAAGTAGTACATACACTGAAACAATGTGCATTGTGTTCCTGAGAGTAGGCAGGGAAAGGGGCTACTCTGTCTCAGCATGCTTCAGAGCCCTCCTTCTAGGTTGGCTAACAGAATACAGATGGAGGGGGTCAGAGAGCCACTGTAGAAGGCTGTCACCTTGTTTTCATGACCTTCCTGATTTCTGTGAGGCTGGAAGGTATCACTGGCCAATTCTATCATATCTGGCCACCCTAAACCCAATGAAGAGTGGATTCAGCTGGAATGTTTTGAGTGGGGTTAGGGGTGGGAGCTAATGAGGTTGGTCAGGTAAGAAAGGATCTTGGTTTCCTCATCTTTACTGTGGTACTGCTGCACCCTCCACACACCTGAGTTGATGACAGTGGGATGTGGTCTATGGAACAGAAGGGGAGGAAGGCTGAGCTGTACAGTCAATCATCTCACCTGGTGCTCTGGGAAAGCTAGGCTAAGGGTTCTCTGGAGACAGAGAAGGCCAAGCTGCTAGGCATTTGATCTTATCCCCCTCTGGAGACAGAGAAGGCCAGGCCTATAGCTGCTATACATCTGATCTTCTCCCCCTCTGGAAACAGAGAAGGCCAGGCCTATAGCTGCTATACATCTGATCTTATCCCCCTCTGGAGACAGAGAAGGCCAGGCCTATAGCTGCTATACATCTGATCTTATCCCCCTCTGGCCCTTTTGAGGGAGGTTGACTGCCAGACTACTGACAAGAAACAGTCTTTGGGAAGATTCTAGCACTATTTCCAATTTAATATTAGAATAGCTATTATAAGCATTAGAATTATGAGTGACACTTCCATTTTCCTTCATTGAAATATAGACTCTGTCCATGATAGCCATCAAGCCAAAGCATATTTTATTCTCTAATATGAGCCAGAATATCTTTCTAGTGACATATTGTGTAATTCGATTAAGTATTGCTCCTTTGTGTAGCTAATTAGAATATTTATTCTACTTACTTATATTAGTCATGCACTCACAAGGAAATGTTTTGCACGTTGAGCACTTCCATGCACCTCAATCACTTGCATATCCTATACTATAAATCTAAGTATAGAATGTATTTGATGTAAGTATTAGCAGGAATTCTAAGACAGACATGACTATTTTAAATCCCCCATGTAAACAACGTAGCTAGTCTCTTTCTTGACCCAGTGACCAACTTGTTCTTTTTTTTCTTGAACATCTCTGTTGTTCATGCCCCTCACCACAGGGAGACATTTTTTTTTAATCATTTTAAAATTTCTCTCACCATACTTTGTTCATGATTTTCTTTTTCTTTTTTTTTTCTAAATGATTTTATTGTGAACTACAAATATGGTTCAAATCTTCCATCCTTCAAAAAAATTCCCAGGCTATTGCATAGAGATGCTGCAAATGAATTCATTCAACAATCCAATCTGTTGATCCAGAAACCATGTTTCCCTTTTTATGTTTTAAAGATTTCTAGTCCTAAGAAGACGAGACATCAGCCACTTTTACATTCTGGGCAACGCTATAGAATGCAATGTCTTTCTTTGAAAAGTATAATTATTTTACCAATAAGGGTGTCAACAATGGTAACAGAAGGGACTGTTCTAGTTAGGTCTGGATGGCCTTGCTTCTCAGACAAAAGCACTGACACAAGCCGAGGAAGTGGGAGACAGTGTAGTTATGTAACAGAGAGCTGAAGAACTTTCATTACCTTAGTTTCTTTCCTCCATCTGCAATTTTGGCTTTTTGAAGATACCCTTCTTTTTCAACCATCTGTAAGAAGAATGTGTACGTTAAATCAGTGACAAACCCTTATGCATTTCAGTATGAATGAACCCAAGCTTTCTAAGCAAGAGTCACTGCAATGATGGAAGTTTCCAGTCACAGAGCTTTATTAATAATGCATACAAGACTTATGGGAAGTGCATACAAGATCAAAGTCTTTACAAGCTTTACATATCAAACGATAGATTGGGAAGATGTATGTGAATGGATCGTTTGATAGTGATACAGCACCATTTGCTCCCCCTTACGTGTCAGGAAGTCACTTGCTTAAAACATTGACTTCAATGATAAGACAAAGAGACATGCAAACCCTTCCTAAACCTTACCAGGAAAGCTCTTCTTTTGCACCCTTCTGTTACACCTGCCAAGGCCAGGACAAAGGAAATGGAACAAGAAGCTGAGCCTGTGACTAACTCTGTGAAACAATAGATAAATAATTTGGTAGCAAAACCTATTCTGATACATTATCATAAGTTAGCTATGGAGGACCAGGAGACTCAAGATGTGGTTGTTACTCTATCCAGGGTATTCCCAAAACCCATCTCCACCCAATCTGAAAGAGGGGACTTCCACCCCCTACACCAAGCAGAGAGCGGCCACTCAGAAACCCCTCTGACAGGCGACCTGAATTCTTGCGTAGGCTGCGAAGCCAAGCACTGCAAGGGAATACCAATAAAAGTTAAAAATATCTCTCTGGATTCCCAGAGGGACAAGCCTGACTGCATAGGGGTTGATGCCAAAAGTATCCCCTCTCCAGGAAAAAAGACATCGGGACGGGTATGGCCCTCATGCCTCACTGGACAACAACAGGGGGGACCGAAGCCACAACAAGGTCCCCATCAATTACTGGAGGTCAGGCCTCTATCCCTGCCTTCTCAAGATTAGATTCGCCACAGCCTGTCTATACTTAGAGAAGGGAGGAGATGTCAGGGGCAGCCCTGCTTATACACTGAAGGCCTAAAATCAGTCATAGGCTTAAAATCAGCAATAGTCCTGTCATACATGTATACTAACACAAAGTGTTGGGTCTCTGTGGATAAACACTGAAACAGATGGTTATAAGCTACTGTAAACAGGCAGTTTTTGTGACAATTTACCAGCCTGAGTAGTCATAGGCCTTGTAAATAGGTAGCCTTGGCAGATAATTCCAACTTAGAGAAGGACAAGTGAATCATAGGCAGACTCATAATGATCTGTCCCCTGAACCCTCACCCAGCCGATACCTGGTTCTGAAAGATATCTGTATTCTCCCTGAACACTCACACTCCAGTGTCATCCCCTTCCCCACGTCCTGCCTTTTTGTGTTTATAACCCCTGTGTGAATGAGTATAAATTACAATTTGAAAAAATTATATATATATATATATATATATATATATATGAAGCTGAGCCTGATGAATCATGGGAAAACATTACAGCAGCAACATTTTGTGCTTTTCGGCCAGTTAGCCAGAGACAAAGTAGCCTCTCTCTCACTGGCATCTGTGCTATATAACTGCTACCCTTTGCCCATTTGTATTGTTGGTTTTCACCCTCCCAGAGTTGCAAACTCCCTAAAAAACAGGCTGCCAAAAGTCTGAATTTCAAGGTTGATCTTTAGAACTATGGGGTTCCTAGCGTTATTACACAGTGTTATGTTTAGTTGCATCTCTCCATGTACTGTGCCCACTTCCTTATTCTATGTACATTATCCCTCTCTTGGATACTGGAGAATTTTGTTACCCTATAAATCCCAACATGCCTTCTAGGCCATAGAAACCCCTAAAACTGTAACTTTGCAGTGTTCTCTGCTTTTAATTCACTTAGTACCACCTGAACAGTTATACTTATCTAAGTGTATGGTATGCCTACACACATGTGATCTAAATATGTGACATGTATGTGCTTGAGCTTTACAGCGCTCTCTCTCTCTCTCTCTCTGTTCTCATACACGTGCCTGCTTCCTCCAAGATCAGTTGTTCCTCACCATACCTTCCTCCTCTTCCATTATTGATGCACACTTACAGTCCATCAGCAAATTTTCAGTTAATCACACTCCAGTCTCTCAAATATCAGCCACTGTGCACGCACAAGAGTTGAAAGATTAACAAGGCAGGTCTGATATTACTTCAACTTAACCCCTAAGGGAGCACATCAAGACATCCCTTCCTTTTAGTGAACTGATTCAACTCTTATATGCCTCTGAGACTTCGCTCAGTCTTCACACTGGACCAATAAATTCCAATTGATTTCTTACCCTGAACAGTGTGTCATGTTGCACTAAACAGGTGCCACACCGACAAGAGAGGCTTCCAAAAAGTAAACTTAATTGTGTGAATATTTATGGGATTGCCATCATATACCTAAATTTCTGAGTGTTCTACATACCAGGAAACAGTTATTCTGAGAGGCTTAGGCTGGGTTGAAGGAGGAATTAGTGCAAACAGATTACTATGTGTTGTACATCTGGGTTTATATGTGGTACCTTATTAATTGTTTTCTTAGTCTCATGGTCTGAAAGAACAATGATCTATAAATTTCATTTTATAGTTCAGACATCAGGTTGTCTAGTCTTTAGTGATTTACACAGTTATATATAGGCTTTAAATTTAAGTTTCGATTCCTCCCATGCCAGATTGTAGGCCAAACTGAAATTCATTAAAGGAATAGAAGCAACCTAACCATGTATACTTAAAGAAATATCACCTAGTCTTTAGATGCTAAATGTGGCTCTTGGAGCTATTTTTTCAATGTCGGTTAGAATCCCTATTTAACATTGCGTGGCAGGGAAGATCAGCAATTTGTCCAGGCTGGATGCCAGCCAGTCTGCTAGCACTGAGGAAGTGCTTCCGTAGCATCCTGTGTGCTGAGACACAGCTGAGGAGAATGGGTGGCGCTGGATTTTCAAGAGTGTACCTGTTTATAAACCTAGGTTGGACATGCAGACAGGCAGAGGAGATGGAAACTTTTGATTAACAACCACAAGTGTACCAACCATGAACCTATAATCTCCTGTATAGATATTGCCCTCCCTTCTTCCTTCCTTCCTTCCTTCCTTCCTTCCTTCCTTCCTTCCTTCCTTCCTTCTGCCTTCCACCCTCCCTCCCTCCCTCCCTCCCTCCCTCCCTCCCTCTTTCTTTCTTTCTTTCTTTCTTTCTTTCTTTCTTTCTTTCTTTCTTTCTTTCTTTCTTTCTTTCTTCCTTTCTTAAATGTGAACGTCTCAAGTTAGCAAATACAAATGCCCACAGTAGGTTCCATGGACCTATAGTGATCCACTAGACAGTTTTGTTAAAATAAAATGAAATAAATTTGACTGAAATGTTCACCCAATTTTGTTGACAATTCGGCTTTCAGCCACATAGCTCTTTCGCTTTATATTTGCTCTGCTGATATGTCGAAATTTTTATCCTTTCTCCTTGGTTCTTCATCTTGGTTCTTTTTTCTTGGTTCAAAACTGCTGAAGTGTTATTTAGCTTTGTAAGTTGTTTGATAAAGAAAATCAGTGGCTTAAGTAGTGAGAGTCAGAGTATCCCCTCTTCCTACTCTTTGAGAAAACAATGTTGAGTCGCTATAAACACCGATGCTACTGACAATTTTTTTTTTTATCAAATAAATCTTAGACAAGTCTCAATGTGAACCTCGGATGGTCATTCTGAAAGAGGACTCACTATGTGAATCATGTGCACGGTTAACCCATCTTCTAAGAGAGGTTTCCATAACCACAACCCTGAACCACTATAGTTTTCAAAACAGACCTGGCATTCCTATTTAATAGGAAAGTAAGAGCTTCGGTTTTAATAGCTGACAGTGCTTGGATGATAATCCTGTTTGTTGATTTCTATTAAGAAACATCAAATGAAGACACATTTTATCACACCATTTTATTCCCTTGAACATTCCTCTTTTCTTCAGTAATTGCTTTTCACTTTTCTCCTATACTCAGAAAGAGACACTTTTGTCTTTTTCTGTGTCTGTACTTTCTTTCTCTTGACATTGTTCTCATTTTACCTCGTGATGCTAATCTTGATTGTTGAACTGAATTTAGGAATGACTGTAAGACTGCTCAAACACTCTCTGGGTGTGACTGTGCAGGCATTCCTTATGGCATTAAAACATTAATTCAGATTTTAATACACTTTTAGGAAGTGCTGGGACTGTGGAAGACAGTCCCTGGCTTAAAGAAGTAGGGCAATGGCAGGGAGCAAGAAAAGACCAAAGACAGGGTGGGAAGGAGTGAAGAATGGGAAGGATAGTGGTGAGAGGGGGTGGAGAAGTTCTTGGAGACTCTATTTTACTTGCCTCTCTCATGTTACTGTTCTGATCCTTCTTCTTGACCTCTATGAAATGAAGAACGTCTCTACTACATATTCTTTCGGCTTCTGAGGGCCAACGATCTGATATTTGGGCCTTTGTCAAGGTGACATAAATGAACTGTTCCTTGGTGTATTTTCTAAGGTTTTTTGTTTGTTTGTTTGTTTATTGTTATTGTTGATTTTTGTGGGTTTTTTGTTTTTTTTAAATAATAATTTCAAGAGAGCTAAGAGACATATACTCACAAGCACATATACAAATTTACACACACACACACACACCAAAAGTAAGCAAAAAGATGAAAACATGGAGTTCATTTTGTGCTGGATAATTATTCTTGAGGATAAAGTCTGTCCTGGTGTGTGGCAGATATGACTGTCACTTCATGGACTGAACTGGTTTTCCCTTTCTGGGCAGTTATCGAGTGCAAACCATTCCTTGGTTAGTGCTGTGCACACTTCCCTGCCTCTGTGTTGAGATTTTGATGTTTTGAACTTGAGCAGGTCTTGTATGTGCTGTCTGAGTTTCTGTGAGTTTACATGCATCAGCTCTGTTTTATCTGGAAAACTCTGCTTCTTTAAAGTTATCCATTATTTCTGGCTTTTTACAATATTTCCACCTTTTCTCTGTATTGTTATCTTTGTTTTTGCTTGTTTGTTTGTTTGATTTGATTTAGGGCTCATTCCTTAGGAGTAAGC